ATAGAACTTTCCACCCTACGTCCACAACATATACATTTTTCTAACCCTGGCATCGAAACTTTTCAAAAATTGATCATATGTTACGACACAAATCAAGCTTTTACAGATTCAAAGGCATAGAAACTATATCCAACATCTTCTCTGACCATGATGGAATTAAACTGAAGATTCATTTCAAGAAACACCTTCAAAAATACACAAACACATGGAAATCTCCTTCCCTACTTCTTTTTTTTTTTTTTTGGAGAGATTTTCACTGTAGGGCTCGTGCGCTCGCCAGACAGACAGAGAGAGACATAGAGACAGAAAGCGAGAAATCACCCCCCAGGGGGGATGGTCACGCCGCAATCCCTTCTCCTCCATTCTCCTCTCGGGATCTTGGGCAGGCACGCACACGCGCCCGGCGTGAGTTTTTTAAGCCACCGGGTCTGGGACACAAACCGCGGTCGACTACGTGGGAGTCCAGCAACATAGCCATTACGCTAACTGCTGGTTCCCTCACCTTCTCTACTTCTGATACAGATACATTTCTGGTTGCTTTTTGCTATGGGTGAGTGAGACCCACCACACGACGAAGGGTTTACCAAGTGGTTACCCTGCCAAACAACATAAAACTTCAGCAGAGGGTTTCAATCATTTTATCCAAGAAAAAGAGGTCAGGCCTCTCTTGAGAAAATGCTATGATTTTGTCCAGTGAAGATTACGGGTCTCATGTTCCCCTCTTTGCCTTGACTGACAGGAAGCTCAGATATGAATTTGCTTCCCACTGTGAAAATCTTCCTGCAACCCTTATGGCACCTGTATTTGCATACTGCCCTCTGTGCTTCATTGTCCTACTTAATTCTCTTTTTCCTTCAGTACTGATTTATTTTTTCCTCTTTTTAAATCATTCTGTGTATTTCTGGAGCCACCTTAGATACTTTTTAGAATGAAGTAAGTTTTATACATAAATGAAAACAGAAAGTAATCAACCATATGAACCATACTAATTTACATAGTGGGTAGGATCTCAAACTTATTTCTTTTAAAATCAGGAAATATTTATTGAGCACTTACTGTATACCAGGCCCTGTTCTGCCACCAAAGATATAACAAAGAATAAAACAGAAGCTTTGCCCTCGTAGGAATGTCCATTCTAGGAAAATAATTAATAACAAGCACATAAAAAGTAAGCATATACTATGGCAGATCATGCTGCTAAGGAGGAACTATAGAAATCGATTTGTCAAGGAAGACAAATGAAGTGGAGGGCATAAATACTTAACAGAGAAAAAGGGCGAGCCAGGTCTTTGCAATAAGTTGGCTTTACTGACAGTCAGGATGTTTTCATCAGTCTTCTCTCCCTTCCACTCGCTACCATCCCTCAGATACTACCCTGCTGTCCCCTGGGTATGTACTGATGTTCTCACCTCTTGGCTTCTTAAAGTCTATTCCATCCTCCTCTCCGCAGTTGGAGAAATCTGGTCATCTGATGAGGCCAATCTGCTAAGGAAGGTCTCACTCTTTC